GGGATGTTCAAAGTTTCGTATATTTTTTTATAACCCAACCCTGATCTGTACTTCTCCACAACTTCCCTGACCTGTTTGGAGAGCTCCTTGGTCTTCATGGTGCCGCTTGCTTGGTGGTGCCCCTTGCTTAGTGGTGTTGCAGACTCTGGGGCCTTTCAGAACAGGTGTATACATACTGAGATCATGTGGCAGATCATGTGACACTTAGATTGCACACAGGTAGACTTTATTTAACTAATAATGTGACTTCTGAAGGTAATTGGTTGCACCAGATCTTATTTAGGGGCTTCATAGCAAAGGGGGTGAATACATATGCACGCACCACCGAATTTTTTGAAACAAGTTATTTTTTTCATTTCACTTCACCAATGTGGACTATTTTGTGTATGTCCATTACATGAAATCCAAATAAATATCCATTTTAAATACAGGTTGTAATGCAACAAAATAGGAAAAATGCCAAGGGGGATGAATACTTTTGCAAGGCACTGTAGGTGTCATTAGTTGTGATTTAGGAGATCAGTGCTGAAGAAACAAGTTGTATTGATCCACCGTGGGGTGTCAGCTAGGGTCTTCACTGTGATTTACATTGGACGTTGCAACGGCGACACTACAGCTTGATCTGCACAGCAGGGGGCTTGTTAGTGGAGGGATATTTATTATGTCTAGTACCCTCCACTCCCCAGGAAGTTATAGGGCTACTGGTGTGAGGGGTGTGGTAAGTTGTGGCGACTGATGGAGGAGCACGCTTTGAAAGCTGTATGTGGTGAGGTGTCCTGTTCAATTGAATTTCCCTGCCTTGGATCAGAAAAGCCAGAGAGAAGATTACATTGAGAAACGAGAGAAGATCGATACAGAGTAGAGAAGCATACTGATCACTTTTGTCCTCTTAACTTTTCCCTCAATCAGTCTTCTATATGTATGTATGAGGGCCTGCCTGCCTGCTGAAGTCAGAACAGGGACTGGCTGAGAATACTCTGAATGTGTCTATGTGAATGGATGACTAAGAACACCATTGTGTGTGTTTCGTGGAATACTGTATTCAATGTATTGAGCTTGTATGGTATTGTCCAATACTGAATAGATGTGCTAGATAACATTGTGGTTGTGCGTTTCTTGTTTGTAAAACACTGTTTTAAATGTCTGGTTGACTGACTGTGTGTTTTGTTTGTCCATATACTCCTTACAGGATAGTGTGTCTGACTATGTGTGTTGTGTTGTCTTCCAGGATGTACGGTATGTGAAGCTTTAGGCCAGCAGCATACCACCCTGCATCCCACTGCTGGCTTGTCTCTGAAGTTAAGCAGGGCCAGCAGCATACCACCCTGCATCCCACTGCTGGCTTGTCTCTGAAGTTAAGCAGGGCCAGCAGCATACCACCCTGCATCCCACTGCTGGCTTGTCTCTGAAGTTAAGCAGGGTTGGTTCTGGATGGGAGACCAGATGCTGCTGGAAGTGGTGTTGGAGGGCCAGTAGGAGGCACTCTTTCCTCTGGTCAAAGAAATAAATAATATATATACAGTGCCTTAGGAAAGTATTCAGACCCCTTGACTTTTTCCACATTTTGTTAGGTTACAGACTTATTCTAAAATTGATTAAATCGTTTTTTTCCTCATCAATCTTCACACAATACCCCATAATGACAAAGCAAAAACAGGTTTTTATACATTTTTGCTAATTTATATAAATAAATAAAAACGGAAATATCACATTTACATAAGTATTCAGACCCATTACTCAGTACTTTGTTGAAGCACCTTTGGCAGCGATTACAGCCTAGAGTCTTCTTGGGTATGACTCTACATGCTTGGCACACCTGTATTTGGGGAGTTTCTCCCATTCTTCTCTGCAGATCCTCTCAAGCTCTGTCAGGTTGGATGGGGAGCGTTGCTTCACAGCTATTTTCAGGTCTCTCCAGAGATGTTCGATCGGGTTCAAGTCCGGGCTCTGGCTGGGACACTCAAGGACATTCAGAGACTTGTCCCAAAGCCACTCCTGCGTTGTTTTGGCTATGTGCTTAGGGTCGTTGTCCTGTTGGAAGGTGAACCTTCGTCCCAGTCTGAGGTCCTGAGCCCTCTGGAGCAGGTTTTCATCAAGGATCTCTCAGTATTTTGCTCCGTTCATCTTTGCCTCGATCCCGACTAGTCTCCCAGTCCCTGCCGCTGAAAAACACCCCCACAGCATGATGCTGCCACCACCATGCTTTACCGTAGGGATGGTGCCAGGTTTCCTCCAGACGTGACGCTTGGCATTCAGGCCAAAGAGTTGAATCTTGGTTTCATCAGACCAGAGAATCTTGTTTCTCATGGTCTGAGAGTCTTTAGGTGCCTTTTGGCAAACTCCAAGTGGGCTGTCATGTGCCTTTTACTGAGGAGTGGCTTCCGTCTGGCCACTCTACTATAAAGGCCTGATTGGTGTAGTGCTGCAGAGATGGTTGTCCTTTTGGAAGGTTCTCCCATCTCCACAGAGAAACTCTAGAGCTCTGTCAGAGTGACCATCGGGTTCTTGGTCACCACCCTGACCAAGGCCCTTCTCCCCCGATTGCTCAGTTTGGCCGGGTGGCCAGCTCTAAGAAGAGTCTTGGTGGTTCCAAACTTCTTCCATTTGAGAATTATAGGGGACCTTCAATGCTTCAGACATTGTCTACGGACAATTCCTTCGACCTCATGGCTTGGTTTTTGCTCTGACATGCCCTGTCAACTGTGGGACCTTATATAGACAGGTGTGTGTCTTTCCAAATCATGTCCAATCAATTGAATTTATCACAGCTGGACTCCAATCAAGTTGTAGAAACATCTTAAGGATGATCAATGGAAACAGGATGCACTTGAGCTCAATTTCGAGTCTCATAGCAAAGGGTCTGAATACTTATGTAAATAAGGTATTTATGTTTTTTATTTTTAATACATTTGCAAACATTTCAAAAATTCTGTTTTCGCTTTGTCATTATGGGGTATTGTGTGTAGATTACTGAGGATTATTTAATCAATTTTAAAATAAGGCTGTAACGTAACCAAATGTGGAAAAAGTCAAGGGGTCTAAATACTTTCCGAAGGCACTGTATATCCCAATGCTGTCTTTCGGATGGGACGTTAAACAGGTTTCCTGACTCTCTGTGGTCACTAAAGATCCCATGGCACTTATCGTAAGAGTAAGTGTGTTAACCCTGGTGTCCTGGCTAAATTCCCAATCTGGCCATCATGGCCACATAATCATCCCCATCTTCCAATTGGCTCATTTCTTCTCTCTCCTTTAACTAGTCCCCAGGTCGTTGCTGTAAATGAGAATGTGTTCTCAGCCAACTTACCGGGTAAAATAAAATAAATGCTGTTTTGAATACCCTAAACTGAGTGTTTGTTTTGTGTTTTCCAGGATAGTCTGTGAGATGGATGCTGCCCCAGCAGACAGCAAGCCTGGACCAGTCCAACTGTGTGTCGGGGAATGCAGACCTGCGCTCAAGACTCGCTCTTCCCAACTCTACTCCTTCGTGGTAAGACTCTAAACACTAACAGTCAGTAAATTAAGTGTTTTTATTGTGTGTTTTTTTCCCCAATTTAGCTGAGTTGTATTACACTAGTTCTTCTGATTCACTGTATTACAAATGCTAAATGAAGTTTAACTCTACTGGCTGAACACTATTAAAACTCAAACATTTTAGAATGAGGAAGAAGTAGTATTTCTCCTATCTCTCTTTGATGTCTATCACCATTGTCATCCTGAAAGACAGAAAATAAGTCATGAAAATCCTACCATTGAAATAATGAAGCCTTTTCTTGATTGTTGAAATACTGCATAGCCTAGTGATTACCACAGAAGTGCCCAGGGAATCAGCAGTTAATATATGGATAATAGGTGTTGTTAATAGAATAAATGGGAAGACAGCAGCTATGCTACACACCTGTATGTCACCCATACTAAAGCTAGCTTGCAGCTAACTGATAATCAAACATTCCCATTCACACACTCCCGATTAGCCACCCCTTAACAATTAACAACCGCTAGTAATTACCTGCACTGTTTAGCCTGTCCCCTGAATTGTACAGCACTGGGCGAGGAACAGTGTATGTGTGATGTTTGTGTGTGTGTACTGATGCTTTTGTCACCCATAATTCATGTTGCCGCTCAGGGACATCATCACAGCGCTGTGTGTGTGGGTACTGCAGTACTTTACCTGCAATTCCCTGATATCACAGCACCGTTAAAGAAAATGACACATAGCAAAAGCTATCTTCAATTTTGTAGACCACAAAACACACTCCCCATGTGGCCGCCTGTTTCACAAAGCTATACAGACAGGAAGTATGACAAAGAACAATGTAAATGGAGTGTGTGTTTTGCATCTTTGTCTGTGTGTGTGTGCGTGTGTGTGTGTGCATGTGTCTTTGTCTGTGTGTGTCTGTGTGTGGGTCCATCAATGCGTGGGTCGGTAGCACTCAGGAGCAGTCTGTACTCTGTTTCATCAGTGTGTCTCAAGATACCAGCCTAGCAGGCAGACTGTGTGGATGTATGTATGTATGTATGTATGTATGTATGTCCGTCCGTCCGTCCGTCCGTCCTCTGATGACAGGCAGGCAGACAGAACCGGGCTCCTGTTAACACTAGTTATTTTCAGACTGCCATTTTAAAAGGTTCAGTAGAATGCAACTCAGCAATGCAGAACACAGCAACACAACCCAAGATGAGTGGGATCTCAGAGGGACTTTAAAAGCTCCTGGTTTTATTTTGCTTCCTCTTTACATGGGGTTATAGTGCAGAGTTTCGGCTTGCCACAGGGCAGTTGAAAGCTGTTATTTGCTGCTGTGGCTCTCTGTAGAGTAGACAGTAATGTATATGGGACAGGACGTGTATGACAGATGAATGCATTACAGTGACAGAGAAATGGGTTTCTCACTCATCACTCTCTCTCGCGCTCTCTCTCTCCCTCCCTCCTCTAGATGCCGTCGGTACAGGGCCTGTCCCCCAGCAGAGGGCCTGAGTCGGGGGGCACCAAGGTGACCATCATGGGGGAGAACCTGGGCGCTGGCAGCAGTGTCACCATCCTCTTTGGGAACCAGACCTGCGAGTTCTACGGGTAAGAGAGAGACCCAGTTCACCCCCCCCCCCCCAGACTAGTTCATTTGTGGTAGTTTAATACATCGCTCCTGTAATGTTTTCAACAATTATGACATTCTCAGATAAATATCAATTATCTAACTTTTGCTGTCTTACCCAGTTGGAACTCTCTCTCTTTCATCTAAGTCAAAGCCCCCTACATTTCCTTATCCAGAGCGACTTACAATTAGTGCATTCATGTTAAGATAGCTAGGTGAGACAACCACATATCACAGTCCAGTCCTGGCAAGTATATTTTCCCTTAATAAAGTTGGGACATCTCTCCTTTTCTCCCTGTCAGAAACATATGTACATCTTAATAAGGTTTGATGACCTACTGCATCAAACCTCTCTAATAATAACCTCCAGACAACCTTGTGCACCCAGCCTGGGATTTTCCTTCCTTTTTCAGTCACCTTTACTTCTTTCTTAGATCTGCTCTTTTTCAGTTCTCTCTCTCTCTCTCTCTCTCCCACCCTTCCTCTCGCTACCTGTTTTCTTCCTGCTCTACCTCTCTCTCCATCCCTCCCTCTCCTCTCTCTCCATCCCTCCCTCCCTCTCTCTCCATCCCTCCCTCCCTCTCTCTCCATCCCTCCCTCCCTCTCCTCTCTCTACATCTCCCCCTCCCCTCTCTCCATCCCTCCCTCCCTACCCCTCTCTCCATCCCTCCCTCCCTCTCTCCCTACCTCTCTCTCCATGCCTCCCTCTCTCCCTACCTCCCTCTCCCTACCTCTCTCTCATCCCTCCCTCCCTCTCTCTCCATCCCTCCCTCCCTCTCCTCTCTCTACATCCCTCCCTCCCTCTCTCCCTACCTCTCTCTCCATCCCTCCCTCCCTCCCTCTCCTCTCTCCCTCCCTCCCTCCCTCTCCTCTCTCCCTCCCTCCCTCCCTCTCCTCTCGCTCCATCCCTCCCTCCCTCCTCTCTCGATCCCTCTCCCTCCCTCCACCCCTCCCTCTCCCTCCCTCCACCCCTCCCTCTCCCTCCCTCCTTCCCTCTCCCTCCCTCCTTCCCTCTCCCTCCCTCCCTCCTTCCCTCTCCCTCCCTCCCTCCCTCTCCTTTCTGATATCTATTTAAAGCGGTGCAGCAGAAGAGAAAGGAGTAGGTTTCATTGTAATACTGTAAGGTTGAGGAGTCAAGGCAGCTTTAATGAGATCTGGGCTAATTACTAGCCATGTGTTCTCAACTGTTATTCTGACTGTGGAGAGAGAGGAGAGGATGAGAGAAGGATGGGGGGGGGGGGTGGCTAATGAACAGGGCTAGTTTCAGGGGGTGAGCAGGTAGTGCAGGGATCAATTGAATGGGATGGAGAACTAATTGTATTTTATTTTTATTTAACCTTTATTTAAGAATGATTAAAGAAGAAACGCAGACATGGACTGTGTGTGTGTGTGTGCGTGTGCGTGTGTGTGTGTGTGTGCGTGTGTGCGTGTGTTCCCTGCAGGCGGTCCATGACAGAGATCGTGTGTTACTCGGCCCCCTCCCTGACTGGGGTGGGTTCGGTGCAGATCAGTGTGAGTGTGGACCGGGCCCAGGTCAAGGAGAGCTTGAGCTTCGATTACATTGAGGACCCCACCGTCCAGCACATCGAGCCAGAGTGGAGCATCGCCAGGTAACACCACCAACACCTCTCCTAAACATGAGCGTAAACATCTACTTGTCCATGTCCCCAGTTCCTCATAGTCAGACCCCATCATCAAACGCAACACTGAAAGCTAACAGTCTGAGTTTGCTAGTTTTTTTCTTCTAGCATTAGCTGTAGAGACTAGTAATGGTAGTGCATTGCTGCAGCATATCTCAGGTAGACAGTTTGTAATTAAAGAGAGGGATGATGAGGACAGAGAGAGAGAGAGAGAGAGAGAGAGAGAGAGAGAGAGAGAGAGGCTGTGAACATGTAACAGAGGTCTAAGTGTGCAGCAGATAGCAGCCGAGATGGAGTTTATCTGGAAGAGAAGAGAGCAGCACGTCCTCTCTCTCTCCACTGAGAAACAGAGAGAGAGAGAAGAGATGAGGGACAGCTCTTTGTTTAGTCAAACTTGTTCTTTCTTTTCTGCAGCGAGAGCACCGCCCCATGCCTCCTCTCAGCCCGGGAGAAAGGAGGTAGAGGAGTGTAGCATAGCGTAGTGTAGCCCCGTAGCTGACAGACAGACAGACAGACAGGGCATCAAAGCTGCTGCCAGGGTGCTGTCTAAACAACACAACCCAGGAAGGCACAGCTAACATCAACAGGGATGAGCATCTTTAATCTAGAGCACATCTCTCTATGTTACTCTATCTCCTCTCCTTGTACTCTTGATTGGACTGAATGGTTAGCAGTAAAGCATGCTAAACCCTCCTCATTTGGCGTTTTGCTCAGTGGACCTCAAGACAGTTTGAACAACTAGTCTTGTCTTACCACTGTCCTCCGGAGTGGCTATATAGACTGTAGTCACTAATACTGCAATACCGCCACGCGCAGACAGATCTTGAGATGCTAATCTAGATGCTGATCTAGTGCTCCCAGCCTCCCAGCCCAGTCATCTAACACTCCTCAGCGTTACTTCAGCAACCACTATAACAGTCCCGATCCCGATAACAGGCCAAACAGCTGTAAGGAAGTCCCCTGCTCTGGCTCCTGCCCTGTCTCTCCTGTCTGTCTGTGTTTGGTTCAGCTCAGCCTGGCTTGTTTGTGTTGTGTTGTATATTATCCATCGAGCCACGTAGCTACGACCCCTGCATGCTAAGTAGCGACCACCGCTCCACGCCGCAGCTAGCTAGAGCCTTTGGTGTTTCAAAGACGAGCCTACCAGATCTACTGAAGTTCAGTTAAAAGCATCTTTAATCATTTACTTACCTCAAAAGCCTATTATCTTCTGAAAACACTTTTTTAAAATGTGAGGTAAAGACTTTCGACAAAGGGTTGTGCAGGGCAGGAAGTTTTGGAGGGAAAGTCTTGTAGTCCGGTGTGTTGTTTGTTTGTAAAACTTTTTTGTGTTTGTGTTGTGTGTGTGTGCGTGTGCGTGCGTGCGTGGGTGGGTGAAACAGCGGCCACACTCCTCTGATGGTGACAGGAACTAATCTGGATGTGGTTCAGGAGCCTAGGATACGGATCAAGTACGGCGGCCGCGAGTCTGTCAATGTGAGTAGTACTACACACACATACACTACACACACACACTGGAGTAGATGATGTTGGGTATGATTGAGTCATACAAATGCTTGTCCTGCTAACCCCCAACCTCCTCCAACCTCCCCACAAACCCTATTTCAAAATCTCCCTAAACACTCTAGCTAGTCTCTTTAAATAATGGAGCAGTTAGCGAGTGTTCCCATGCAGTATTTCATTGGAAAGTTTTAACACCATCAGGCTCCAGTTACTATCGCCAGTCAGTCAGGGCCTCAGCTCGATACAGTCCTGCTCTAACCTGCTTAGCCCTGTTGTTATGGTTTGAGACTTGGCGTAGTCAGCCTGAATTTGAAATACCTCCTCAGACACTTTTCTGTAAATCTGGAGTGTAGGTGCAGCTTTGGAGGGTGGAGGGCTGGTGGGGTTTGAGGCTAGGAGCGTGGGGGGCTGGTAGGCAGTGGTTAGAGGGTTGGAGGGCATGGGAAGGGTTGGATGGTGGTGGGTTTGGAAGGCTGGGGAAGACCGAGGGGCTAGTCTGTTCCTAGTGGGTTCTAATGGAAGATGAAGTGCTGTCAGAAGGCTTTGTTCAGCATAAAGAGCCCCTCTCTGTATAATCAGGGCCGGGCGGGCGAATCGTTACAAATTGCATTTATGCTCTAGTCCTCGGGGTCCATGTTTAATTAAGGGAATGGTATTTTTCCACCGCTGCGGTCGGGTGGGTGGTCAGGGTAAAGGTGGGGAGGGCAGAGGAGTGGAGGGAGGTGAGTGAGGGAGGGAGGGAGGGAGGGAGGGAGGGAGGGAGGGAGGGAGGGAGGGAGGGAGGGAGGGAAAACAGGTAGTGTGGAACAAGTGATTCATGCCAGGAAATACAGCGTATCCTAAATACATTTATAAAATTAGTACATGCTCATAAACACAGCACAAACTTTAGGCAGATGCATACTGTACAGTCACAGAAATGAAACATGCACACACAGACCACCACCACCATGACCATGTTCTGAAGTCTATTTTAATGGTCTCTTTATATAATGACTTCCATCTCACACCTCACTAGAATGTTGCTTTTTGGGTCTCAAAGAATCTTGTTAGAGAATCTCAGAACAGATTTGTTCCAAAGTATTGTCTTCTTACCTTCTGCATTCACAACCCTCCTCCCACTCAGACAGACTGTAGTTCACTTAAGTGGTTCTGAGGTGCCTGCATTTCTTCATGATTTCTCCAGTACCCAACATCAGAACTGTGCCCTAGGCCAGGGACCATCAACTAGATTGTTTCTTGAGCGGGCTGCAAATTTACCACAAAAAGCCAAAACATATCATATTTGACTAAAATATAATAATTTCAAACCTTGCTTACATTTGTATATGATCACATATATCTCTGTTATGCGTAGGGATACTTTGTAAAATTGTCAATCACTTGGAGCTGATTTGATGGTGTTTTTACAGTCTTTTATGTCCAACTATAAAAATAATAATAAATCAATATTTTTTGGTCAGAAAACTTGGGGGGCCAAATAAAATCAGCCGTGTGCCAGTTGGAGAACCCTGCCCTTTGTTCTACTACTGTACATGTCTTCATGTATGGACAGTTTCCCCATTTTACATGAAGAAACCCAGTCATTTTGGATCTAATGAAAGACAGTCTCAATGCTTTACTCACACACAAAATAACTGGATCAGATCAGTAAGAATTCTTGGAAGCCTCTGAGCTGAAATAGGATTTGACTTGTGTGTGGGTGCTGTCTGCTGTGTAACTCAGGTGAAAGCAGAAAGCTTTGAGCGCTCAGTGGCGTTCTCCTTTAAAGTGCAGTCTCACTTCCTCACACACACACACACACACACACAGTGCCTCTCACAGACACTCGGCTCCTCTTTGATTTCCTTGCTCCAGAAGGAGGAGAAGAGAAGAAGCCTAGGTTACAATTACGGATCTCTTCATCCCTTCCTCTCGTCTTTGTCACAGGGGGAAAGGCAAACAGCACGGCAGCAGCCGTGCAATCAGGGCCCAGCCCAGAGAGGGCCTGTCAAGTCAGCCTTCAAAGTGTCATCTACCTCCCATTAAATTGCCTCTCTCGTCTCCCTCCCTCCCCCTTCCATCTCGTCACCTGCACAAGATTCTTCACAAAGAAGGCACAGAAAGGGAGACACCTTTCTTCGTGACACGCTCTATACCTGTCACCGGTTCACAACTGAAACATTAATCATTGTCTCTGATTAATGCTAAAAAGTGTTATTTTTCCTCTCACAGACCCCCCATTTTCTCCTATCTTCTCTTAAAGAATTTCACCTGCCACATTTTGCCCCCATTAAGATGTCTGTATGGCTGATGTGATGTCATCATGAGATAGATACAGTAGAGGCTGCTTCCCAAATGGCACCCTGTTCACTACATAGTGCATTAATATGGGCCCTGGTCAAAAGTAGTGCACTATATAGGGTAATAGGGTACCATTTGGGACGCAGCCTGATTGTCAGAAGTGGAAGCGATCAGCAGCAATTTGAGCTGATTAGAGAGAGAGAGAGAGACCTATACTTCACTAGGTCTATAGAGCAGCACAGCACCTACAGTCCTTATGCAATCAGACTGCTCTCTTTAGAACTTTGTCCTCCTAGGACATGGTACATCACCCCCAAGAGACATACACTGAGTGTACAAAACATTACATTCAATGCTCTTTCCATGACAGACTGACCAGGTGAATCCAGGTGAAAGTTATGATCCCTTATTGATGTCACTGGTTAAATCCACTTCAATCAGGTTAAAGAAGGATTTTTAAGCCTTGAGACAATTGAGACATGGATTGTGTTATGTGTGCCATTCAGAGGGTGAATGGGCAAGACAGCATATCTAAGTGCCTTTGAACGGGGTATGGTAGTAGGTGCCAGGCACACCAGTTTGAGTTAGTCAAGAACTGCAACGCTGGGTTTTTCACGCTCAACAGTTTCCCGTGTGTATCAAGAATGATCCACCACCCAAAGGACATCCAGACAACTTGGAGTCGACATGGACCAGTATCCCTGTGGAACGCTTTCGACACCTTGTAGAGACCATTCCCCGATGAACTGAGGCTGTTGTGAGGGCAAAAGGGTGCAACTCAATATTATGACGGTGTTCCTAATGTTTCGTCCACTGTATAATGAACACTCAGATAGAATCACATGAAGGAATAGATGGTGTGACTCCACTATAGATACATCCTGCTCCCTCTCATTTACATCAAGCTAAAGGCTTGGTTAATAACCTCTCTTCTCCTTCTATGTCTTCCAGTCTTGTCAGGTTGTTTCCTCCTCATCCACTACGTCTGCACCATCCATCCATCCCCTCTTCTCTCCACTCTCCATCCATCCATCCATCCATCCATCCCCTCTTCTCTCCACTCTCCATCCATCCATCCATCCATCCATCCATCCCCTCTTCTCTCCATCCATCCATCCATCCATCCATCCCCTCTTCTCTCCACTCTCCATCCATCCATCCATCCATCCATCCCCTCTTCTCTCCACTCTCCATCCATCCATCCATCCATCCATCCCCTCTTCTCTCCACTCTCCATCCATCCATCCATCCATCCATCCATGTGACTAATATCAGAGCCATATTGTCAGAATTAACAGCTGGTGGAAACAAACAGGACATGGAAGGAAATGGACGTAGTGTAGGATTGATATCAGCCACTAATATCACTCATTGGCCAGAATATTGCTCACATAATATTTGACCCTTGACCTAACAGAGCTGTCTCCTCTCTCGTACCCCTGAAGCCTATTTCCTCTACTGCCTCCCTCTCTCCAAGTCAGAGACCTGGCGCATAACTATTCTCTGCTCCCTCATAAGAGCCTATAAGAGCCCTGAGATGATTAACAGCATAGTATATAGTTGCACATCTTGGGACTAAGATACACCATTTCTTACATCACTACCCATATAGCCCATGCTGTTCCACTTCACTACCCTGGCATAGCCAGTATGCCCCCCTTCACTACCCTGATCACTAACCTTATAGGCACTAAGCTCAGTGACTTATTCTGTGGCCTCTTTAGATCTTCACACATCACATTAGATCACATCACATCCAGTCATGGCTGAATCTTATATGACTGCCTTTCTCGGAAAACAGGATTCAGGAAGAGGGGGAAAACATTTCTCACCCACCAACACACAAACACACACAGAGTGTTGAAAGAGTGTATTGAAAACATGCAGCATCCTTCCAGCTAGCTAGCCCAGCTCTGAACAGATGGTAGTGGGAGCCATACTGTACTGTAGTTGACTTGCAAATGCATTGCTGTTCTGTTCTGTTCTGTTCCAACACAGACAGACAGACAGACAGACAGAGACGGACGGACGGGCGGGCGGGCGGGCGGGCGGGCGGGCGGGCGGGCGGGCGGGCGTGCTGTGGTAGCTTCTGTGCCTGCCTGTAATGCACGTCACTTTTATAACATGGAGACTACAGCAACATGTCACTTTTGCTTTACTGTCTCTGAATGCAGTATGTGAGAGCAATCAAGTGTATTCGTAGCTATAAAAAAAAGCTTATTTGCTAGTAACTATGAGAGTGAATTTGTGTTTATTTGCTGTTATTAAGGGACTTATTGGCCAGAATGTATTAAGTTAATAAGTAAATGCATTCACAAGCAGCTTTTGATAATCATAGCACACGATAAGAACAGTGTATACAGTATGTTTTTCCCTCAGTATTTTCTCTATAACTTTCATCTAATCTAAGATCTCTCTGTAACATATAATGGGATTACAGTAGTAGATTCTTGGAGAAAATGTGTCAGCAGTGCTATGGAGGTTGTATGCATTTTTAAAAGGGCTTAGCCTCTCTCTCTCGAACATGCAAACTTAGACTGTAGATATACAATGTCACTACTCTACGGGAGTCGCTTGGGAGCTTTTAGACCTTGTAATGTGGGCTAACATACACACACCGAGTCCAGCCGCAGCAGCACGCATGGCGGCAGCTGTTATGTGGGGACTGTGTTTCGGTTAGCCCAGTCGGTTAACCCGGGAGCAGAGCTAACTTCCTGCTGAACCCAACCCAGTGCTCCACGGGCCTCCAGCAGGACCAGCCCAAAGACTACGTTACCATACAGCTAACTACTTAATAATGCAGCCTAGGATTCCTTCCTGCATGGAGAAGAATGGGAATACTCTTGTACTCTGTAGTTGTACTCTGTAGCTCAACCTCAAAGAGCATGGTTGGAGTATCTAAAACAATTCCCCCTGCTGCACACTCACTCTGTACACCACACCAGAGGTGGGACCAAGTCACTATTATTCGAGTCACAAGCAAGTCTCAAGTCACAAGGTCCGAGTCTCAAATCGAGTCCCAAGTAGAACGGGTCAAGTCTAAGTCGTGCATTCTAAGAGCAAGTCAAGTGGAGTCCAGTCACAAGTTTAAGTCAAATCTCAAGTCAAGTAAAAATAAATCTATACATGTAACGACTTGTTCAACTACAAATCTTTGTCTATTTATTGAGGCTACCAGACAGCCCTTTTCATTATATTGTCTACAACATATTTTGATTAGCCTAAGTAATTGTAAAATAGTCGTAAGAGCATGAAATCAGCAGAAGGCAAGGCAGGTTGACGTGCTCAGAGTGTAGATTTATTTGCTGGTCTTGGTGATCCAATGGTGAAAGCACCATATCATACAAAATATACAAGTAGATTTACCAAATTTACATGGGCAATAGCCCAAAAGAAATAGCCTCTATCAGGCTTAACCTGTCCTATCTGAACGGACACAGGTAAAGGGCAAGACTGCACAGCCTCCCCTTGAGAAACCAAATCGAATCTGTCTAACAGGAGATCAAACAGATAGGTCTATAAGCACCTGGCCCCCAGGACCATACAAGTCACCCAACTGGCAATTACAACAAATAAACTGGTTCTACAATGTAAAAGGCCATTTCCACATCCATTGGTACATTCGTCTTAATCAGACTTAGTGATTATTAATTATATTTTAAAACCATGCATACATGGAACAATAATTTTATCTTATTCAACATTCTGACTCCAAAGCGTGGAGTGCAGGCTACGCAGCCTATTTCTACTACGCACAACCAGCATGACAGAGACACACGGAACTCCGACATAACCCGGGAAATATGAACAAAGGAAACCATACATTGAATTAAATTAAGTATTGCAAACATTCATGTTCGCTATAAACATCGCGCCCACTCAGAGCAGGGTAAGAAATGGTTGGCTAAATGAAAATGTATCGTAGGCCTATCAAACATGAAACAGAAATGCCTATGTGTTGCAATAAACGGTATGGGGATGGAATGATGAAACGCTAGCAATTATTGTAGTATTAGATGCAATATTGATTTACCACATAGGGCCTATGTGAAAGCAACAGCAAACATTTCAATAAGACAAAAAAAGCACGCTCCACTGGCGGGAGTTTTGAGAACGCAAATGAAGAGCCTCGCCTATGGTGCGTCTTCGCCACAGTGATAATTCATTTTAAAAACAAATTCCAAATGCAAGCTTCATAAGAAATTATCAATTTTAAGCAATTGTTACATACCAAAATACCAGTAGGCCTATGCTAGTAATTGATGCCCCATTCCTGGTGAGCTTGCAAAGTAAACAGTTCATATTCTTGATCACCAAACAATTTTTGGAGCTGTATATTCATTTATGGCAATCCTCTTTCCCTACAATTTGATGTTCGTGCTGCACCCGATCCTATAGCTGCACAGCAAATCAAATAATCTGTTCGCTAGCGCACCCGACCATTGTTGATTGACAGTTTGCTGGTCCAGTCAGAGTGCGGAGTGTGCGTTTCACTAGCCAATCTGTTGCAGTTAGTGTCAAAAAAAATTTGCAAGGGCGATGCTGCTGTCTCTGGCTGTGTGTAAAGTAATCCACGTAGATTCTGTGACACAAAATGAGTGACAAAACATTACAAAACCTGGCCAGATCAGATATTTTCAAATCATCATGTCAAAGTCGAGCCCTCAAGTTCTTTTATTTTCTATCAAGTCAAGTCTCAACTCATCAAATGTGTGACTCAAATCAGACGCGAGTCCAAGTCATGTGACTGGAGTCCACAACTCTGCACCACGCTGCTTTAAAAAAGAATAGAATAGAAGGATTGACCGGAATTTGTTTGTATCGATGGCTGATAGCCACCCCCCCGGCTCGAGACTAGAGCAGAGGACAACAGGTAAGAGGTGTGGTACTCTGCTTGCGCTACAGAGCTTTGAAGACATTTGGCTCTAATTAAGTTTATCCTCTGAGAGTGAGAGAAAGAGAGAGACACCAAATAATGCATGCAGAGCAGAATTAGGCCAATACCCGCTAATTATCAAAATCCAGAAAAGAGCCGTTAAATTCTATAACCACTTAAAAGGAAGCGATTCCCAAACCTTCCATAACAAAGCCATCACCTACAGAGAGATGAACTTGGAGAAGAGTCCCCTAAGTAAGCTTGTCCTGGGGCTCTGTTCACAAACACAAACAGACCCCACACAGCCCCAGGACAACAACAACAACAACACAACTAGACCCAACCAAATCATGAGAAAACAAAAAGAGAATTACTTGACACATTGGAAAGAACAAACAAAAAAACAGAGCAAATTAGAATACTATTTGGCCCTAAACAGAGAGTACACAGTGGCAGAATACCTGACCACTGTGACTGACCCAAACTTAAGGAAAGCTTTGACTATGTACAGACTCAGTGAGCATAGCCTTGCTATTGAGAAAGGCCGCTGTAGGCAGACCTGGCTCTCAAGAGAAGACAGGCTATGTGCACACTGCCCACAAAATGAGGTGGAAACTGAGCTGCACTTCCTAACCTCCTGCCAAATGTATGACCATATTAGAGACACATATTTCCCTCAGATTACAGCGATCCACAAAGAATTCGAAAACAAATTTTGATAAACTCCCTTATCTACTGGGTGAAAAACCACAGTGTGCCATCACAGCTGCAAGATTTGTGACCTGTTGCCACAAGAAAAGGGCAACCAGTGAAGAACAAACACCATTGTAAATACAACCCATATTTATGTTTATTTATTTTCCCATTTGTACTTTAACTATTTGCACATTGTTACAAAACTGTATATATACATAATATGACATTTGAAATGTCTTTATTCTTTTGAAACTTCTGAGTGTAATGTTTACTGTTAATATTTATTGTTTATTTCACTTTTGTTTACTATCTACTTCACTTGCTTTGGCAATGTTAACACACGTTTCCCATGCCAATAAAGCCCTTAAATTGAATTGAATTGAATTGAGATCCGAGATAAAAGGCTCCGGCAGCAGCAGGAGTGCAGCACAGTAATCAATCGTGTTCCTCTACTGTTAGTAGTGCTGCAGCTCGTTCCCTCGCATGGAAAATAGCCGCTCCTGGGCATACAGATAGAAAGGAATATTATTCAAGAAGCCATGACTTCACCTCAACCTGCTAGATTGGATATATGACCAAGTGATTGGGGGATATCCCCAGTCCCCCTCATGCCCTCTTATTTGTTTTAGTTTGAGGCTCCTCAGCACTACTGGAGAAATGTTATGAAAACTGAAAACTTCCTGTCTCTGAAAGTAATAATAATTAATTGGATGTATATAGCACTTTTCTACCAACTGAGGTACTCAAAGCACTTTACATAGTAGGGGGGGAAACTCACTTCATCCACCACCAATGTGTTGCATGGTGACCATTTTTGTGCCAGAACGCTCACCACACATCAGCTGGAGAGGTGAGGAGTGATATACGCAAAATAAGAATGAGGGGGTTGATTAGGTGGGCATGATGGAATGGGGCCAGGTTGGGAATTTAGCCATGACACCAGGGTTAACACCCCTACTCTTACGATAAGCGCCATGGGATTTTTAATGACCACAGAGAGTCAGGACACTCTTTTATCGTCCCATGCGAAAGACGGCAACATACGCAGGGCAATGTCCCTTTCACTGCCCTGGGATCTCCTTAAACTAGCATCCCACTACTGGCCCTCCAATACCACTTCCAGCAGCATCTGGTCTCCCATCCAGGGACCGACCCAGCTTAACTTCAGAGGCAAGCCAGCCGTGGGATGCAGAGTGGTATGCTGCTGGCAGTGCTTTTGTATGAAGTGTAACATTCAATAAACTCTAGACTTTACATGGTATTACAGTAGGTGGTTGTTAGGCTATATGGTATGAACCTACTCTTTCAACTTTTAGAATGGAAAGAGTAGAGCCAGACGGTCTGTCTCACCTCATCCCGCTTGACTTGCTCATGTCTCATATTGGAGAGCTTAGATTATTAGAGCATGATGGCTGGCTAGTGTGGATCCCATCGGTCGCCTGTTTCCATCTTTTGGTGGAGCTAATTTGTCTCACTCTCTCTCCTCCTCCCCCTGTTTCTCCCTCCCTCCTCCCTCTCTCTCTCTCTCTCTCTCTCTCTCTCCTTCCCCTTCTCTCTCTCTCTCATTCCCCTCTTTCTCCCTCCTTTCTCACTCTCTCTCTCCTTCCCCTCCCCTCTCTCCTTCCTCATCTCTCTCCTCCTTCCCCCCCTCCTCTCTCTCCTTCCCTCTCCTTCGCTCTTCCATCCGCCAAGACTCTCCCTCTTTCTCTCTCCTTCCCCCCTCTCTCTCATCTCCCCCCACTTCTCTTCCTCCTCCCCCTCGTCTCACTCTCCAGTCTCCTCTCCCCTCTCTGATCTCATCTCTCGCCTCATCTCGTCTCGTCCTCGATGCTCGCGTCCAATGCTCTCCCATCTCGCTCGCTCCTCAATATCCCCTCTCTCTCTCTTTCCCGTCATCTATCTATCCTACCACCTCCTCTACTTCACAATCTCTCGCTCCTCTCCTTCCCCTCCTCTCTCCCTCTCCTTCCCCTCCTTCTCCCCTCCTCTCTCCTCTCCTTCCCCTCCTCTCTCCCCCTCCTTCCCCTCCTCTCTCTCTCTCCTCTCTAATCCCTGCTTCTTCCTTCTCCATTCCTCCCTCTCTCAGATGTGTAAGGTTCTGAACACCACCAGTATGAGTTGCTTTGCCCCGTCCCTGGTAGCAGAGTACCGTCCAGGTCTGGACATGGTCAAACACGCTGATGAGTTTGGGTTCATCTTCAACAACGTCCAGACTCTGCTAGTCTATAACAACACCAACTTCCTCTACTACCCCAACCCATACTTTGAACCTCTCAGCACCAATGGGGTCCTGGAGCAGAAGCCTGGCTCGCCCATCATTCTCAAGGTATGGGAGCTTACTGGAATTGTAATCAATCAATCAATCAATCAAATGGATGAATAAAGCTCTATAAATGACAGCACTTATATAGCAACCCGGCCTAGACCTAGCATGTAGAAATCAAGAGAGGGTTTAAGATATTTGAATGTGCAACCATAAAACAGAGTTGAAACAATGTTCATTCTATAACTGTATCATCATTACTGCACCATAACAACCAATTATTATTTTTGGGTGACTTCATATTACCTTAGTTGAGCATTGCAATGACAATGTGTGCACAGTACAAAGTGCCCCCCTCCTCTCCCCCCACAGGGCAGAAACCTGGTTCCCCCGGCCTCAGGGGGGGTGAAGCTCAACTACACTGTACTGATCGGGGAGACCCCCTGCTCAGTCACTGTGTCTGAGACCCAGCTGCTGTGTGAGCCTCCTAACCTCACGGGCCAGTACAAAGTCATGGTACGTCAATCAGTCTGTCCAAGTGCACACATATCTACACAGAAACACACACTGAAACAGACACTGACAAACACACAGATGCACACACACACACACACACACACACACACACACATTCATACACACACACACACACACTCACACACCCTCTCGTCCTGTCTCTCTTTTCTGTCTCTGTGTGTCAGAGTGTCTGTGATTTATTTTCCATAACGTTTGACCTGTAAACTCCATTATTTTTGCTCTCGTGGTTGTTCATTCAGCTGAGCGAAACAGGTCAAAGACAGAGCAGTGTGACTGGGCTCTAGCTGTCAAAAGGTTCCGCAAGAATCCACTGCAATTATTTCTACTAGTCTTCTCACTTATTGAGTTCAAGCCCCCGAACTTCACTCTTCACTCTCATACATGTCGGGGTGTCTGGGTGCCGGGGTGTCTGGCTGTCTGGCTGTCTGGGTGTGTGTCTATGCACACTGTGTCTGTGTGCTGTATGGGTTTATTTAACTGAATCTAACTGTTTGTGTTTGAATGTGTTAAACTCTATATACTTTATGTGTGTACATATCAGGTCCAGGTGGGCGGTCTCCACGTGTCTCCAGGGGCGGTCCACATCCTTTCAGACAGCCTGCTCACCCTGCCCACCATCGTCTCTATCGCCGCCGGCGGAGGCCTCCTCCTCATCATCGTCATCCTCGTCCTCATCGCATACAAACGCAAGTCGCGGGAGAATGACCTCACCCTGAAGCGCCTGCAGATGCAGATGGACAACCTGGAGTCCCGGGTTGCCCTGGAGTGCAAGGAAGGTGAGTAAGACTTTATTTAGATAACCACTAACTATTAGTAGGCTATCAGTAACATTGAAATGCATCTAGGGAAAAATTCATTGACATTCAACAAATTAACCACAGACTATTAGTTGCAACTCTCACAAACTATCGTATACACCAGTGTTCCCAACTCCAGTCCAGTGAGTTTGTCAGGGGCAACAACAAAAATGTGTGCTGTTGGGGGTGCTCGAGGACTGGAGTTGGAAAACCCTGGTCTAGACTACGGAAGGTCAGTTCAGCCCAGAGTCGCTATTCAGGTACTCTAGCCTATATCCTTATCCTCTCTCCATCAACAACAAAGGCATGGAATTACAGGTACAGAAACTGAAATCAGTCTCTCAAATTGTCTGTGAAGAGTTAAGCAATTATGTTTGGTCCTCTTCTGCTCTACACAGCTATTTTGAGACACTTTGATTCCAGTTTCCTTGCAGGGCTAAAGACTGAGCTAGCTAGCTGGGCTCCACTAAGGCATGGTATAATCACATGAATGACACACATTGGTATTTCTGTGTAGTAAATAAATTACGGGTGGTATGTGTTGCATAATGTAATAGAAGTTATTGTGAATCTGGGTCAGTGAGTCAGTCTCTGCTAGTTTAGTTTACCCTGTTTGTGACCCTGATCGTGGCACACTAAATGCACATGGTGCTTGTCTATCGCTCACACACACTGGCTCACACACACACACTGGCTCACACACACACACACACTGACTCACACACACACACACTGACTCACACACACACACTGACTCACACACACACACTGACTCACACACACACACTGGCTCACACACACTGGCTCACACTGACACTGGCTCACACTGACACTCACACTGACTCACACACACACTGACTCACACACACACACTGGCTCACACACACTGGATCACACTGACACTGGCTCACACTGACACTCACACTGACTCACACACACACGCACACTGGCTCACACACACTGGCTCACACACACACGCGCACTGGCTCACACACTGATTAAACACAACGTTCTCCTATGAACACATTTGTAATGGCATATCATCTTTATTTCATGCTGGCATTTTGTGTGTGGCATGTGTGTTTCAGAGTCTGTTGTAAAGGTATGGTCTCATTTAAGATTGTTAGGCAGGCCTTGTTAAAGCCTAATAAATCTGTGTTAGTGCTAAGCTCTGCTGCCCTACACACACACACACACACATACACATACACACACACACACACACACACACACACACACACACACACACACACACACACAGGCCCCTGGTGGGCCACAATACAGACAGGGCACACTTCTGTTCACTACACCAACTGACCTCTGAACCCTGGGACCAGAGGGAGGACAGACAAGTTATGTATCCCCTCCAGCCAACCTGAAGACAGCTTTTCCACTCAAAATTACAGCACATAGAATAACCCTAACATACCAAATTACAGCACATAAAATAACCCTAACATACAGAATTACAAAGATGGGACATATAGAAGACATAGTATACTAGAAGGGTATATCTTCCTAATGTCATTGTCTTGTTTCTCTGGGTTGTGTCAGGGCTGTGGCAGTGTAGAGATGGTTCTTAGGGAGGTCTAATCTATGTCTGTTGTAGTGCCCAGCTGGGTGGTGTGAGCAGAGCAGAGCAGCACACAGCTGCAAAAGAGCTAAAGCCCTGGACACGTACAGACAGACAGATACTTTAGGCAGACACACACACAGGCGAGGAGACACACCGAGGGGGTCATGTTTTAAACAGCAGCTGTGGTCAGGAAGAGTGTAGTGCCCCAAGGGTGGATTTAGAGGTGCAGCTAGGTACCTGGGTTCTACCAGGGGTGTGTGTCTGAGCCCTGAGCTGGGGTAGCCGGGGTGCTGGGGGGCAGGCTGTAGGCAGGGGGAGATATGACTGTGATTGGCTGTAGAGAGGCTAAGGGGACTCCCTCAGGGCAGAGCAAGGCCTAGCAGGACTCAGTCAGGAAAGGACCAATTAACTAGCTCTCACCTGCAGCCTCTAACAGCAGAGGACACACAGGAGCTCAGATACTATACAGTACCGCCAATTTACTGGCCACCAGAGGTGTGTGTGTGTGTGTGTGTGTGTGGCTAGTGGGCGTACATACTAATGTATGGCGATCCATGGTTTCAGATCACAATAAACTAGCAGGTCTGAAGTCAGTTGATCTAACAGTGCTGCTCATTTCTCCTCTCTCTACCCCCCTCCTCCAGCTTTTGCTGAGCTGCAGACGGACATCAACGAGCTGACCAGTGATCTGGACAGAGCTGGTATCCCCCACCTGGACTACAGGACCTACGCCATGAGAGTCCTCTTTCCTGGCATCGAGGACCACCCTGTTCTCAGAGAACTGGAGGTACGGAGAGAGAGAGAGATGGAGAGAAAAGTAGAGAATGAAAAGTATGGGGGGGGGGGGGGGGAGGGGGGAGAGGGAAGGGGAAAGAGAAATGAGGAAAGGAGGGAGAGACAGAGTGAGAAAAGGAGAGTGAGAGAGCCCTGCGGCATGCCCTCCATAAGCACCACAGTGCCGTGGGTAGACTGATACCAGTATGCCGTTCTGCCTCTCTGGCCTCTCTCTCTCTCACACACACACACACACACACATAGGTCCCATTACAAGGTCCCGGCGCACGTCTATTTCACCCACCAGCACGTCCTTCATCAGGCATAATGAAGTGGGTAATGTCCTGTTCACTGGCAGCCCTGGGACCTCCTCTACTTGGGACAGACTGACTGGAACACACTCAATACTCTCCCTTTAATACGCTGGGATTCTTTATAGGGGAGTACAGGGTGGGTGTGAGTTGCTGGATGAGTTGACTTATTGGGGTACATAGGATGGGTTCTAAGCTGAGACCTCTAACAGGACAACGTATGCAGTCTTATTAGGGTCAGCCTGTTGACTGTATGAGTGTGACATGGTGGGATAGTGATGAGATGTTCAGGGAGGAATAAAGGTCTAATAGGAACCGCACAAAGTACTGTATACTAGAGCCTCACAATGTCCTTTATGATCAACTGAGCATAAGAAAAGAAATGGAGTAGTTCTGTCAAGCATGGAACAATCTGAATCTGTATAAGCATGTTTAAAGTGGAACTCTTAACACAGAAACGATGTGTTGTCATGTGGTATGTTAACCCTTTGTGTTCTGTCCTGTATGTCCTAGGTGTCAGGTAACGGTCAGCTGAACACAGAGAAGGCTCTGAAACTCTTCGCTCAGCTCATCAACAACAAGGTGTTCCTGCTAACCTTCATCAGAACTCTGGAGCTCCAACGCTCATTCTCCATGCGTGACCGCGGCAACGTGGCGTCTCTCATCATGACGGCGCTGCAGGGCAAACTGGAGTACGCCACCGACGTGCTCAAACACCTGCTCTCTGACCTCATCGACAAGAACCTGGAGAGCAAGAACCACCCTAAATTGTTGCTGCGCAGGTAAGAGACATACACATACATACACATTTACACATGCACACACACAGACACATTATGCATGTACGCAGATACACACACATCTATGCACACGCATACACTCACACATACTGTATACACACATCTGCTGTGGGCATAATGGAAGGGGAAGTAGAGATAGTGGAGGGTGAAAACAGTGGAAGGATGTTGATAAAAGGTAGATGAAGGAGTGTGGATCAGAGGGGTGCATTCCTCTACCACTTGTATTGATTCCATTCATCAAGATTCAGAATAAGTCATTCATTTACAATGGCAAGAGATTCATTTTTATCAAACTACTTCTTGAGTAGAAATATCCTTTGAATTATCAGCTGAGATAGAGAGTTGTAGTCTCATCTCTCTCTCTCTCTCTCTCTCTCTCTCTCTCTCTCTCTCTCTCTCTCTCTCTCTCTCTCTCTCTCCTATCAGTCTGAGAGTACACGACTGTACCACTGTCAGTCTCACTTATCCGCTGAGCTCTGGCTCCTCATCAAACATTCAGCAGCAGCTTCTACTTTACTTTTCTCTTTCTGTCTCCTTCTGTCTCCTATCTAGATTGTTTTCCACAGGACTCAGGCCGATGTGCTATATCTTTAAATATAGAGTCCTTTTACTTTTACTAGAGTAATGGCTGCCATCTTTGTATTGTTTTATAGGCGTATGGATGGGTTATCAGGTGACCAGCAAAACTGTCACAGTCCCGCCTTAACCCCATATCCAGAGAGAGGGGAGAAGAGAGAGATGACAGACAGACAGAGAGAGGAGAGGCGACATACAGAGAGGAAAGAAGAGAGGCGACAGAGAGAGAGAGAGGAGAGAAGAGAGAGGCGACAAACAGAGGAGAGAAGAGAGAGATGCCAGACAGAGAGGGGAGAGGAGAGAATAGAACAGACAGAGAGGAGAGAAGAGAACAGACAGAGAGAGGAGAGAAGAGAACAGACAGAGAGAGGAAAGAAGAGAGAGGTGACAGACAGAGAGGCAAATGGACCTGGATTATGCTGTAGTGTTATTTAAGATGCCAGCCGCCAGCCCGACGCACGTCTTGCGGTCCCATAGTTTGTATTATCTCCTGTCATTAGGAACACAATGGTGTAATCCACAAGACCTGCTGGTCTGGCCTTCAGGCCTGAATATTCCTTTAGTTTTTTAACATTACGTTCCATTTCTTCAAAATCATTATAAGGATTACCGATTTGACACGCTGTTTGTTTTCTCTTTACGTTTTTCTTGTGGCTCATTGTGGCACACGTAAGGTTGACTGAGACACAGAGAGGAGCGAGCAGACTCATAAGCAAAGGAAATCCTCATAGGGACTGAAATTGAGCATATGTGTAACCCACATTAATGTGTTGTTGTTGTCATTAATGTGGATGGTTGAGGAATAGGACAGCTCTGTTCTGCTCTGATTGCAGCTCATCAATTAGCAGTTGATAACAGGATGGCTGAGCCTGTTATTATGTTTAGGCCTGAACTACCTATTATTAATGAATTAGTCCATCTCTGCCTTCCATCTCTTTCTCTCCTGATGTAGTCTATGACTGTGTGCCTAATGGCACCTTTTCCTGATATACATAGGGTGCCATTTAGGACACAACTATAGAGATAAATCTACACTTCCCTAGGACTTGCCTAAGACCCATCAGGAGCCTCTACACTACTTTACATTTGAGTCATACACTTCCTTATGGCCCACCAAGAGACTACAATCATCCATCCCATTCAGCCCACACAGAGAGGCTGCACCCCAAATGGCACCCTATTTCCTACATAGTGCACTACTTTTGACCAGAGCCCTAGGGAAGTGTAGATAAAACATGTTTTATCTCTATAGTTGTGTCCTAAATGGCACCCTATTCCCTATATAGTGTGCGACTTTTTCCCAGAGCCCATAGGGGTCTGGGTGCCATTTGGGACACATCCTATATGTAGGCCCATGGCAGTGTACTGTACAGTATCTGAGGCAGCAGGAGGAGCAGTGGTTCTCTAGTAGTGTATGACCATGTAGTATGAATTATTACTGACCGCACCAGACATGGTTTACACGGTCAGAAAGCGCCACCACACACACAGGAAGTTACCTAGGGCACCTAACCTCCGGCTTCCTGGTCCTCCGGCTTCCTGGTCCTCCAGCTTCCTGGTCTTGTCTCATTCATATTACATCTTACAGAGGTACACCATAGTGGGTTGAGAGTGCACTGGTTGACAAGGCCCGCTCTTAGTGAATGGCTCTATTTGCTGCCCACGCATGCATATACACACACACACACACACACACACACACACACACACACACACACACACACACACACACACACACACACACACACACACACACACACACACACACACACACACACACACACACACACACACACACACACACACACACACACACACACACACACACACACACACACACACACACACACACACACACACGGCTTTCCTGCCCACTCCGCTGTTAGCAGAATGCATTTCTGTAGTACTCACAGTAGAATGTCCATAACATGGACCTGTAGATATACATTTACATTTTTGTCATTTAGCAGACGCTCTTATCCAGAGCGACTTACAGGAGCAATTAGGGTTAAGTGCCTTGCTCGAGGGCACATCGACAGATTTTTCACCTAGTCGGCTCGGGGATTAGAACCAGCGACCTTTCGGTTACTGGCACAACGCTCTTAACCACTAAGCTACCTGCCGCCCCATATATATGGTTGACCTCTGAAAGAGGAACCCTTACAACAGGAGCCTTACAGATGGGATATGTGAAAATAGGCCTCGCAATAGCTGTCCCGATGCTTGTAGTGGCTTTCAGTCCTGAAATACTGTATATGTGAAATATATTTAAAGATATATGTGAGCCAAATGTCTTCTTCAGTGCATGTCCATATAGTTTAGCAGGGTATACACTGTATGTATCTTTGAGGTACTTGACACTGGAAAACATAAACATACAATACACATATGCATATTAGTGCTGGGAATTGCCAGGGACCTCATGATACGATATTATCACGATACATAGGGCTGAGGGGGCTGGGGGCCGGGGGGAGCAGAGCTGAGGGGGCTGGGGGCCCGGGGACGAGGAGGGCTGAGGGGACTGGGGGCCCGGGGACGAGGAGGGCTGAGGGGGCCCGGGGACAAAGAGGGCTGAGGGGGCTGGGGGCCTGGGGATGAGGGGGGCTGAGGGGGCTGGGGGCCCGGGGACGAGGGGGGCTGAGGGGGCTGGGGGCCCGGGGATGAGGAGGGCTGAGGGGACTGGGGGCCCGGGAACGAGGAGAGCTGAGGGGACTGTGGGACTGGAACCTTCATTATTGAGGCCGTCTCAAGCAGAGAGCTCCATTGAGAAGAAGAACTGCCACGCTAGCTAGTGCCCCATCACACCACAGAGAGTGGGAGAGGGAGAGGATATGGAGAAGGGGGGAGAGAGGGAGGACAGAGAGGAGGATGGAGAAGAGAGATGAAAGCAGAGGGAGAGCCTTGTCTTTATGTCTACTGTCTACTGGGATCTACTGGGATCTTGTATGAAAGGCGTTTCTGGGTTAACAAGGTGTACTAGACATGCAGCAGGCATGCTCACGCCGTAATTAACATTTTGTCTGCTCTCTGTGTCTCACACAACTGTTTCTCTTTCATCACACATCTACTTTAAGACCAGCTTCACATCAATAGGTTCATACTTTTTTTATTTAACCAGGTAAGCCAGTTGAGAACAAGTTCTCATTTACAACTGAGACCTGGCCAAGATAAAGCAAAGCAGTGCGGAAAAAACAACAACAACACAGAGTTACATATGGAATAAACAAAACGTACAGTCAATAACACAATAGAAAATCTATATACAGTGTGTGCAAATGTAGTAAGTTATGGAGGTAAGACAATAAATAATTACAATTATAATTCAGTATTAACACTGGAGTGATAGATGTGCAGAAGATTATGTGCAAATAGAGATACTGGGGTGCAAATGAGCAAAATAAATAACAATGTAAATAACAATATGGGGATGAGGTAGTTGGGTGGACTAATTACAGATGGGCTGTGTACAGGTGCAGTGATCGGTAAGCTGCTCTGACAACTGATGCTTAAAGATAGTGAGGGAGATAAGTGTCTCCAGCTTCAGAGATTTTTGCAGTTCGTTCCAGTCATTTGCAGCAGAGAACTGGAAGGAATGGCGATTATTATCTATTCTTTGTAGATATATAAATTATTATATGCACTGTTCAAACGAAGGTTTGCTAACTTTATACTTGACCTGTAACGACAATTTATAATCCTAAAATACCATGTATTGAGCTTAAGAATGGGCTACTGAAACCTTCTAGAAATGTCTCTCAGGGAAAGAGCAGGAGCAGAATCTCATTGAGTGAAACTGCATAATAACCCTGCATAATAACCCTGCATGATAACCCTGCATGATAACCCTGCATAATACCCTGCATAAAACCCTGCATAATACCCTGCATAATAACCCTGCATAATACCTTGCATATTACCCTGCATAATAACCCTGCATAATACCCTGAGGGCAGCGTGAGCTGGGTGGAAAAACAAACCATGTTGTATATTATGGGAAACCTTGGCACACACACACACACACACACACACACACACACACAGCAGACATTGACTTCTGTCTTAGGTTATATTATGAGTATAACGAGGGGGTGGCTGTGAGCTCTCCTGGCTGCCAGATGCCTTGCAGTTTATATGTTATTATATTTTCACAGCAGTTCAGACTACATTCTACATTTAAGTCAATAACCTCTACAACATCCTATTAGAACATATAGCCTGTATAGAACATGTATTTGATGTGACTAATCCAAATTAGAGAGAGAAGAGGTTCCATGTACGGCCCAGAGATACAGGCAATGGTACATCAACAAGCCATAGTCATGGCTTTATATATATGAAGTATATTCATACTCCCCATGTTGTTTTGAGGATCCTTTTGGATTCTGAGAGTATGCGCTCCACATTAATAATGTAGGTCTTAATACTGTAGGTCTAAAAGTGTTGTTCCCCTCCCTGACTTGTAGTGGAGTCTGTCTACCCGTGAGAGTCTACAGCACAAACATTAGATGGTTTTTCCCCTAAAAGCATTCTGAACATGGTATCTACGTTTTGACAATCTGTTGACTTTAAACTACTTACCTTTCCATTTTAATTTGTTAATCTGCTTTTAAAACTTTTAGTCAGAAAATTTTTTGGTTGTAAGTTTGTTTCGCTCTTTCATGTTCTCTTTCTGTGTTTCTCTCTCTTTTTCTCTGTTTCTTTCTCTCTCTTTTTCTCTTTCTTTCTCTCTCATTCTCTCCATCTCTTTACCTAGCTTTATCCCTTTTTTTTTCTCTAGAGACATCCTTCATAAGCCTTCTGTACTCTATAATGATAATTACCTGGATATGTTGCATTGATCTCTCACTCCATCCTCTGTCCCTCTCTCTTAAAGCTTTCTGTTTTCTCTCACTCTTCCTCCATTTTTAAATGGAAAGACAGAACAGTAGCAAGTTTTCTATCGCCTTGAGTCTTTTCACTCTTTTTTTTCTCTTCAGCGTTTTTCTAATGAGATTCCCGTCCATGCGGAGCGCTGCTAGAATAGAATGGCTTATTAGGGAACTAGAATGTTGTGTTTAGCACTATTCCATTCTAAAGACATTCCACAGCCTACTAATCGGTCCCCCTCAACCTATTTACCAGCATCAAGCCCCAGTCTTAATGCACAGTTGGAAAATGATAATCCTGATCTTCATTAATGGAACTCAACTAAAAGAGCGAGGGAAGTGGATGGAGAGATGGGGGAGGAGGAGGGAAACATAGTGAGGAGTCTCAGTGAACCATTGAAAGGCAGAGGACAGATATTAAGGAGCCCCAACATGGCACCGCACAAAAGCCTTTATTTGACTTTCCTTCTATGGGGACTTGCTGGGCTTATTAAAACTCTTAATAGCTTCCATTAACTTATTGTTATACACTCCACTCTGAATCAGAGGAGGGGCAATGAGGGGGAGGGGAGGGGGGATACTTCTCTGTGGAGGAGAGAGGGGAGCAATTATGCAGGGTATGTGCACTTTGTCCAAAAACACAATATTTGTAGGTTTATTCAGCTTCAAAACAGAGTATGGAGGGTCCGTATTGATTTTGAGGATGAAGACTTAGTAAAGAGTAGTAGTAGTGATGAGAGAGGCAGTAGGTGGATGCACGTGTGTGTGTGAGTTGGTGTGTGTATCAGGGGTTGGAATCTAAGTTATTTTCCAATCGTTCTGTTCCCCTATTGTTTTTGTTCTGACCAGCATAATGAAGTTCTGAACCGGTTCCAACCCAAAAAAAGGAACGGTTCAAATAGTTCCTTTTCGTACCTTTTTTTACTCTTGAAATCAACATACCTTTTACATTGAGCTTATTCATTTACCAATTAGGATAGAACAGCTTGCTATGAAACGGTAAGCTACTTGTTTACGTTTGATTGGTTAATAAGTGCAGGCGGGAGATGCGACTGAAATTTCATGGGTGGGAAGAGAGCGAGAGAGACGCGTGGATATGGAGGGGGCTTGGCTTGAGGTGCTGAACATCATGACATGACGTGAGTTGGAATGTATTTAGGCTATTACTAGCATCATAACTTCACTGAATTATAAACTAGACATTATTAACCGGTTCTCAAGATTTGAAAATAACGGTTCTGTTTTGGAACACTAGAGATCACTTTCGTTCCCTGTTCTGGTTCTGTTTCTCCCCCAAAAAATATTTTAGGTTCTGTTCCCTCAACCGGTTCCAACCCCTGGTGTGTATAGAAGAGGGCACAATCATACAATCATACACACTTCGGCTGTCAGTAGTGCCTCTTCCTCTCATCCTGCAGCTGAAATGGGGTGAACAAAACTCCATCCACCTTCCATCAACCTCGTGCATCCCACTTCAAATAACCTGTCACAGAGCGAGAGCTCCAGCCCATCCTAGCAAATCCCTCTCCTCTCCTCAGCCCTGTACACCACTGTTACACGTTACAGCCCAGCCACCATTTCCCCGCTTGCAGCCCAACGTAATCATAGTCATTTCCCGCCGCATTAAGAGGGTCATTTTCGCAATGCCGCACAAAGTAAATTGGCAACAGGCTCCTGTATGGCCCTGTAGCTGATGGTGGTGGAGAGAGGGGTCTGATGTGTGTGTGTGGGGGGGGGGGGGGGGCGAGCCGTTGACAGTCGTGATATTGTAAAGCACAGTGGTTCTCAGAGTACTCAGAAACACACACATACACACACTCAAGGGTACTCTGATTGGGGACAATAATGCTAGTAGCATGTCCAGGTGGGAGCTGAGGTAATTACATAGTCACGCTATCACACAGTTGGACAATAGTCAATGAAGTGTTTGTGGGGAGAGGAGAAGCTTAGGCTGGTGATGTGGAGAAAGAACGGAGTCCGAGGAGGAAGAGAGTGTGTACTTGTGCTTTCCCAGCACGGTTAGCCCAGCTCTCAGAAGATGAAGCATTGCAGTGTTGGTATTCAGGAGTAGTACTGTTGGTCCTCTGGAGGAGGGAGGGGGAGAGAGCGAGAGAAAGAGAGAGAAAGAGAGTAACCCTTTCATCTATTGTTTATGCTACTGTCTGGCTGCTTTTTGTTCTCTTTCTCATTCCCCCTCTTTCTACAGTTTTTTTTGTCTTCTAATAAGTCCATCGTTTTCTGAGTCTGCCCTGAAATGATTTTGGAGCTATTTGGGAAAGCAACATCAGCATAAATAAAATATGTTGAATGGCGATCCAAACTAAATAAATCTTATTTTCACTCCTTCTTCAGAACGGAGTCCGTTGCAGAGAAGATGCTCACCAACTGGTTCGCCTTCCTTCTTCACAGGTTCCTCAAAGTGAGTCTAATGCAATCTCAAGTTTACCAGTTTTAGTAAACCAGGGTTTTTATAAGAAGTGTCAGTTAGAATATATTTGATATCCTTAATCGATATGTGTTTTCTCTCTATCTCTCTCTCTCCCCGACCTCTCTCTCTCGCTCCAGGAGTGTTCTGGTGAGCCTCTGTTCATGCTGTACTGTGCCATCAAGCAGCAGATGGAGAAGGGGCCTATAGATGCCATCACTGGAGAGGCCCGCTACTCCCTTAGTGAAGACAAGCTCATCAGACAGCAGATAGAGTACAAAACCCTGGTCAGTACCACTCAGGCAATCACACACAAAGACTGATACACACTGATACACAGATTCTACTGACTCTACATACCCTATATTTCAGACACACACACACACACACACACACACACACACACACACACACCATCATGTTTTGCTTCCCTCAGTGTCCTGAATAGCTAATGACCCTAGCTAGTGCCAGTCCTGCTCCAGCAGGAGAGCAGGGGTTTGTGGAGACAGTCAGTCACAGTCAGGACATGACAACGCTAGCTCTGATTGCTTTGACAGGGAACTGGGCTCATTATTCTGCTAATACCCCACCAAAGCTGTAGATTGGTGTCCTGCGGAAGGTGTGAAATTAGATTTTGGGATGGTGGCGGGCATGGAAATCTCCTAAAGCCCCCTCCACGCTCCTGGCTGATGCTAATGAGAGAGGTCTCCAGAGGGAGGGACGTCTGGAACGTGACAGGACCCCACACACACACACACATACACACATACACACACACACACACACACACACACACACACACAGAGCATGCACACACACAAGCGTTTAAACACACACACAGGCGTTTAAACACACACACACAGGCGTTTAAACACACACACAGGCGTTTAAACACACACACACAGGTGCTGACACATACAAAGACACACACACACCCCCTGACCACCTCTCCTCTCCTGTAGATCCTGAACTGTGTGAACCCGGACAATGAGAACAGCCCTGAGATCCCAGTGAAGGTGCTGAACTGTGACACCATCACCCAGGTCAAGGAAAAGATACTGGACACCTGCTATAAGAACATGCCCTACTCACAGAGGCCCCGCGCTGTCGACATGGACCTGGGTAAGATAGAGAGACACACACGATACACACACAAAGGTGATGAGACACACCTACACCCTCCCTAGTCTGTGGCCTGCCTGACCCAGGTAAGAGCTGACAGAGCCCCCCACTCCACCCCAGCCCTAGACCCAACACCGCCTCTTTCACCTCTCCTCTACTTCCTTCTCCTCCTCCTCCCCATCTTCTCATGTGCTCTCCCTTCACACCAATGTGAGAGAAACAATAACCTCCCGTCAGAGGTGCTAATCACCCTTCAACTACACTGGCAACAACAACAGGAGACTATCTCTCACTCTCCATATCACTATCACCTAGGTAACACTAGGGGGGGGGGGGGGTGGCGGTGGTCTCCGGGCAGAACTAACTGGGGGGGGGGGGGGGGGGGGCACTGCTGGCAGTGGCACAAAGTAATACATTCCAGTCAACAGAGTAGAAAAATCTAATGATCGCTACACGGTGCCCGACACTGCCCATCCATTTCCATATCAACACCCTTATTATAATTTTATTATCAGACGAAAAGCCGTCAATGTGCCCCATCTACTCCCCCCTCCTCTTCCCCCTCTCCCCTTTCGCTTGAGTCACTTTTCTGGAAAGGATACGATTTTCTCTCTTAGTCCTTCTCCTGCATGCATTTTTTCCCACCATGCCGACATAAGTAGCACTGACACAAATTACGCCGGTGAGGCTGACTGTGTATACATATTGAAATTGTTTGTGTGTGATGTTTAATTAAAATGCACGTCAATCCGGGCGGGCGTCATCTCTCTCGTTACCTAGTGGAGTACAGAGTGCTCTCTCTGTGAGTCTGTAGAACAGAACTGCACAACGAATGGCTGTTGATATGGCTTCATTTGGATAATGTGTTTTCTCAAGAGTCCTTTGGAAGCTTGTGATGTATGTGTGCCTCTCCTCTCCTCAGTGACACCAGGGCAAATGAAGACGCAGTCAGAGAATAGCTTAATGTTTTTGTCTCATCTTGCTTGAGGAAGTAATGGCTATTATAAACTGGGTGGTTCGAGCTCTGAATGCTGATTGGCTGAAAGCAGTGGTATATCAGACCGTATACGACGGGTATAACACAAAATAACGTTTTACTGCTCTAATTACATTGGTAACCAGTTTATAATAGCAATAAGGCACCTCAGGAGTTTGTGGTATATGGCCAATATACCACGGCTAAGGGCTGTATCCAGGCACTTCATGTTGCATCATGCCTAAGAACAGCCCTTAGCCATGGTATATTGGCCATATACCACACCTCATCAGGCCTTATTGCTTCACCCTTAGAGACAAACAGATATGATTGTCAATCTCTTTAAACAGTAGACCAGTGTTGTTCAGTCGTTTGAATTGGCTCACACCACATAAAAAAGGCATTACTGTAAGATGGAAAGGCTTCAATAGTGGATGGATAACACAGACTAGAGAGTATCAAATCAAATCAAATCAAATTTTATTGGCCACATGTGCCGAATACAACAGGTGCAGACATTACAGTGAAATTAGTATGTATGTATGTTCTTGTGTGTGTTGGTGTGTATGTCTGCATGTGATTGTGTTACTGGTAGTGTGACTGATGCATCATCTCTTCTCTCTGGTCCCGTCAGAATGGCGTCAGGGGCGGATGGCTCGCGTGGTGCTGCAGGACGAGGACATCACCACCAAGATAGAGAACGACTGGAAGAGACTCAACACACTCATGCACTACCAGGTACAGTGAACTGATCTATGTTACGTATATCTAGACTCAACACACTCATTGATTGCCAGGTAGGGTTATCCCATCTACATCAAATATATATATTGCAGTTTGTTATGGTACAGTATCACTGTATGTCTCTCTCTGGAGTTCAAGGGATTCGGCTACATTATGAACACCCATTCTATACAGTAGATAGTTTATAGAAATTAAATTACAAAAGGCCACTCAAGTGTACTGTAGGTGAAATGTAATGTTCAGACTGCTGACTTTGAGACATTGAATCCTCCTCCTCCAGACTCTCATTAGAATTCACTAGTCTGGTTTGATCTGATCTGCATGACTCACACATAATAGAGGGCAATTATTCCGCAGGTGGGAGGGAGGGAGGGAGGGAGGGAGAGAGAGAGAGAGGAGAGAGAGAGAGAGAGAGAGAGAGAGAGAGAGAGAGAGAGAGCACCTCTAAAGTGTCCTCCTTGGAGAAATACACGCAGTAGTCTCTCTCTCCCTCCCTCCAGCTCTCCCCCTCTCTCTCTCCCTCCAGCTCTCTCTCTCTCCCTCCCTCCACCTCTCTCTCTTTCTCTCTCCCTCCAACTCTCTCTCTTTCCATCACTCTTGATGTTGATCTCTTGAACTCCCTCCCTCTCTCTCACTCCTCTGAGGCCCTCTACTCCTGCTATCTATATTTAATCTGCCTCTGCTCAGGGACTAGGCTGTCCTTTACCTGTTACCATGGCAATTAGCCCTGCCTCAACCTCGCTGAACTTCTCTCCACATCTCAGAGGGTCTGACTTTACTTGCAGTTCGAGAGAGAGAGAGAGAGAGAGAGAGAGAGAGAGAGAGAGAGAGAGAGAGAGGAGAGAGAGAGAGAAGAGAGAGAGAAGACGAGAGAGATAGAGAGAGAGAGAGAGAGAGAAGAGAGAGAGAGAGAGAGAGAGAGAGAGAGAGAAGAGAGAGAGAGAGAGAGAGAGAGAGAGAGTAGAGAGAGAGCACTGAGTCGCAGTACGGGAGAGATTAGAGACAGAGAATCTGCCAGAGAGACTACAGAGAAGAGAGAGCCAGGGGACTGAGGCTGTTTCCGCCAGGGAGCGGGGCAGCAGGCTCCCTTACTACAGGAGACCTTGCCCTCCGACTACGCCTTAGCTCCAGACTGAGGCTGTGTGAAGGGAGGGAGCTGGGGCCATAGGCCCTCTCTCTCTCTCAGACCTGCTGCCCCAGAGGAGGAGAAGATAGGTAGATTCATTCACAAGGTGTCAGGGTTATTAGATGTGACATCATGGTGTCCTTCATAGAGGACTTGGTTCCCTGCTGATTTACTGTCTGTCTCTTTCCCTACTCCTCTCTTTCCTTTTTTCTTTCTCTCTATTTCACTCCACTTTCTTTTCCTCTAACCTTCTATCTACTTCCTTTGCTACCCTCCCTCCACATCCCTGTCACCCACAGATAGTGAGCACTGAGCAGTCTCTTTCTTTCTCTCTCTCTCTCTCTCAATTCAATTCAATTTCAATTCAATTTAAGGGCTTTATTGGCATGGGAAACGTGTGTTAACATTGCCAAAGCAAGTGAAGTAGATAGTAAACAAAAGTGAAATAAACAATAAATATTAACAGTAAACATTACACTCAGAAGTTTCAAAAGAATAAAGACATTTCAAATGTCATATTATGTATATATACAGTGTTGTAACAATGTGCAAATAGTTAAAGTACAAATGGGAAAATAAATAAACATAAATATGGGTTGTATTTACAATGGTGTTTGTTCTTCACTGGTTGCCCTTTTCTTGTGGCAACAGGTCACAAATCTTGCAGCTGTGATGGCACACTGTGGTTTTTCACCCAGTAGATAAGGGAGTTTATCAAAATTGGGTTTGTTTTCGAATTCTTTGTGGATCGCTGTAATCTGAGGGAAATATGTGTCTCTAATATGGTCATACATTTGGCAGGAGGTTAGGAAGTGCAGCTCAGTTTCCACCTCATTTTGTGTGCAGTGTGCACATAGCCTGTCTTCTCTTGAGAGCCAGGTCTGCCTACGGCGGCCTTTCTCAATAGCAAGGCTATGCTCACTGAGTCTGTACATAGTCAAAGCTTTCCTTAAGTTTGGGTCAGTCACAGTGGTCAGGTATTCTGCCACTGTGTACTCTCTGTTTAGGGCCAAATAGCATTCTAGTTTGCTCTGTTTATTTGTTTGTTCTTTCCAATGTGTCAAGTAATTCTCTTTTTGTTTTCTCATGATTTGGTTGGGTCTAATTGTGTTGTTGTTGTTGTTGTTGTCCTGGGGCTGTGTGGGGGTCTGTTTGTGTTTGTGAACAGAGCCCCAGGACAAGCTTACTTAGGGGACTCTTCTCCAAGTTCATCTCTCTGTAGGTGATGGCTTTGTTATGGAAGGTTTGGGAATCGCTTCCTTTTAAGTGGTTATAGAATTTAACGGCTCTTTTCTGGATTTTGATAATTAGCGGGTATTGGCCTAATTCTGCTCTGCATGCATTATTTGGTGTTTTACGTTGTACACAGAGGATGTTTTTGCAGAATTCTGCATGCAGAGTCTCAATTTGGTGTTTGTCCCATTTTGTGAATTCTTGGTTGGTGAGCGGACCCCAGACCTCAGAACCATAAAGGGCAATGGGTTCTATAACTGATTCAAGTATTTTTAGCCAGATCCTAATTGGTATGTCAAATTTTATGTTCCTTTTGATGGCATCTCTCTCTACCCGCTACCTCACCTTCTCAGCAGTCACAACCTCTCTCTCTCCCCCTGAGCTCCGGTGCTCTCCGAGTCGCTCCGAGACTGTCTGAGTCTGTAATCCTTGATGGAAGAAGTGCAATATGATAACTTCCATCCTCCGAGGTCTCTGTTGTTGTTCTGTTGCTTTGTGTCACTCTCTGTCTCCTTCATTAGCCATGGTAGACACTGCAGGGCACAACGACACACACACACACACACACGCGTTACTGCATTAGAGGGAGCGCTCCTCAGCACTCAATAGCACATCTGAAGCCTGGCTATTGATCACAGATCTGAGGTTCTTATAAGGATGCCCTAACACAACACAACACCACTTCAGATGAGACACACACACACACAGGCCGCAAGATGGGGGGGGGGGGGGGGGTAGAGACAAGAAAGTACGGGGGGAAGAGAGTAGATGAGGAGAAGGGGATTGATGGAGCCTCTTTTGTTGTGTACTGTCATTACAGCTTTGATGAGCTAGTGTGTGTGTGTGTGTGCGCCACTGGCAGCTACAATGCCACATCTGTGAAGCGTGCGCCGCCTGGCACAAAGAGAGAGCCCAACTCATTAATCCCCAGAGTGAGAGAATAGAGAGAGATGGAGAAGTGTGCCTATGCTGTGTAATATTTAGATATTCAGATTTACGCTGCACCTCACCCATGTGACTCTGCTAATTCTCACACGTAGAAGAGGGACCAGACTGAGATGCATTAGAATTCATGGAACTCCTATCAACCAGGGATGCTCTGCTATTTACTTGCCCTATCACATGGGAGATGATCGTTTACATACCCTGGATATGGAAATACAGACCACCTCCTCACCCTCAGCTCCTGCAACTGAAATTAAAAACATAAAATGCATTTAAAATGAGACTGTACAGTAGCATCTCTATTCAGTAGCTACCTTTGCTAGTTTGAGCTCAGGGGAACTGAATGAATCTCTAGACTCTCTCACACACACACTTTCTCAGACACATACACACACACACACAGATTGTCGGCCAGAGCAGAGCAGAGGAGAGGAGATAAAAGATTGATGAGATAGGAGAGTGCCTGGCTGATTGCTGATTTTGATCTCTCTGTTGATTAGTCTTCCTCCTTGTCAAATGGAGCTTTTCATCAGCCAAGCTCTAACTCTCTCTTTGCGCTCTCTCTATCTCACCTCTTCCTCTATCTCACCTCTTCCTCTATCTCACCTCTTCCTCTATCTCTCTCTCACCTCTTCCTCTATCCCTCTCTATCTCACCTCTTCCTCTATCTCTCTATCCCTCTCTATCTCACCTCTTCCTCTATCTCACCTCTTCCCCTATCTCTCTATCTCACCTCTTCCCCTATCTCTCTATCTCACCTCTTCCTCTATCTCTCTATCCCTCTCTATCTCACCTCTTCCTCTATCTCTCTATCCCTCTCTATCTCACCTCTTCCTCTATCTCTCTATCTCACCTCTTCCTCTCTCTCTATCCCTCTCTATCTCACCTCTTCCTCTATCTCTCTATCTCACCTCTTCCTCTATCTCTCTATCCCTCTCTATCTCACCTCTTCTTCTATCTCTCTATCCCTCTCTATCTCACCTCTTCTTCTATCTCTCTATCCCTCTCTATCTCACCTCTTCCTCTATCTCTCTATCCCTCTTTATCTCCCTCTCCTTCTCTCTTTTCATCAGCCCAGCTCTTACTTACTTTTTGCAACTCCATCTCCCTCCATTTCTCTCTCCTCTGCCTCTCTTCGCGCCTCTACCTCTCCCAATGTTCCTCTTACGCTCCTGTCTCTCCCCTCCCTTTCCTTCTTGTTGCTACCTCTCCCTCTATCCCTCTTACCCCCTCTCCCTCTCTCTGTCATCCTCCGAGGTGAGGCTGTTAACCTTCCATCTTGTGAATAGCATTACTTGTCCAGTAGTTCCCAGGGGAGCAGGGCCTAGGCCAGGCTAGACCAGAGGTGGCAGACACACCCATTTACCATAGCATGGGCTTCAGTGGCGTGAGGCATAGGGCAAGATTAGCAATTCAAATTAAAACTGTAGGAAATTATCATAAACTGTGTGGGAAGGCTGGTGTTTAGAGCTGTGGATGTTTTCCAATGTGAGGTGTTAGTGAAATTTTAAACTGCAAATAGATCGCTTAAAAGTCATTGCAGTTAGGTGTTTGCAATTCAATGGATTACATCTTTGGCAAAAGTGCAGTGATTTTTGTCAGATTTACTTTCTACTTACCTTGGTTTTATCTCTCGTCTGCTGTGCCTACATGGGTGGCTTTTGCCAGGGGTACAGCTAGAAATGTGACT